ATAGAGTAGCAACGGCGATATCAGTCAGGTGTTCATAAACAGGGTACAAGTTTTGCTCGAAATCTAAAATGTTCGGAATCGTGTATTTTTTTCTAAACTCCATTGTTTTTGAAAACAAAGATCTGGCTTCTACGTGGTAGCGACAACAGCACGTAACACGATCCTTTGGTCTTGCTGACCGGACAAAATACGGCTTTAATCTCTCAAATGTTCTTTGGTTCATTTTTATATTTGGATTATTTATACAAAAGTCATTAAACACTTCAGTTTGAGATTTATCAAGTATATATATAGGATGTTTTAAGAAATGTTTGGGGCCGATACGGATACGCTTCGTGTCATTTTTGTTTCCAGACGGACGGGATGTATTAGGATCTGTCCAAAAATTGTACGCGATTTTCTTTACATCGTCAGTAATAGCATCTTTCCTCGTTTTTCTCTCAATATATGTCCAACATGACTTTTCAGAAGTAAATATTTGCGTACGTACTCTTTTTCCTTTCGATAGCCGTTTAAGGGGAAGTCCCAACTTTCTTGAAAGCAAAGTTTTCTTTCGTTCTTTAGTTATGTTTTTACCACTCGTGCTTGCTACGATTACACTTAATGCAGTTCTTGCCGAATCAGATCTTGAAAATTTTGCCTGGTCGACTATCTCTTTAAGATCATTTAGAACAGCATTGCCAAGTTGAATGTCCGTTTTTTCTTCAGGCGTCACAACAAACTTTAATTTTTCAAGCGATTGAACAGTTGGGGAATGTTTATTGTCTAAATACGTGGCCATTACTGCTACTCTTTTCTTCGGTGTTGTAGGGAGTGCCCTCTTCATTGACTTTACAGCCCTGCTTTTCTCCATCTTATTCGAAAAAGTGTTTTTAATGTCATTTATAGTGTTTATAGTGGAAACTTTATTTTGAGTTTTCCTATATTTTCTTTTCCGTTCAGTTTCATAAATTCGTTTATCAGCTTTACACTGCCTTTCTTTTCTTTTTCTCTTGGCCGCGGAAGTTTCGGAATAACCACAATTGTGACATTTTTGTTTTGATGCATTCATTCTGTCTTTTTTCTTCATTTCGTAGTTTTGTTTACACCTTTCTCTGTTTTTCTGTGCCTTTTTCTCCTTCCAAATTTCCAATCTCAAAGCAGACGTGCTTTTATTAACTGCAAATTAAAATCATTACCAAAAATTTATGATTGAGTTTTAAAAATGGAACGCTTGTTTAAAAGAAGCCTCTTTCGTGCTAAAAGATAGAAACGCATAAAAGAAACGCTCGTACAATTACGCACCCAAGTTTTACTCGTTTTAAAAACTTTGAAAGTTCTGCACCCAAGTTAAAATTTGCGGGCAAAATAAAACATGCAATCTGTTCCGCGTCGAGGGCAACACTTATTAATATCACGGAATAACAAAAAGGATCCGAAAAGTCAGTAACATATAGATAAATCAAATCGTAGCTTAAAAAGTCTCTCTCTATATATATAGTTGAACAATGCATGCACCGACAATCGACTAAGTTGTGCGCTTGTTCTGTGTGTTTTTATGGCGCCTCGTTATTTGTTGTTTTCACTATTCGAAACGACGTCAGGTTGCCGCCGTAATAAATTTGATGCGTGTGACATCTTATTCACCATTTTTCAAACATTTTTTTTTCGGAAAGTACGAATGCTATGGAGATCAATATAGATATTTTAGAAAGACTAGAAAAATAACATGTCTATATTAGAATTTCATTGTCGACAAACAAGTGCAAAACTAAACATAGTTAACTTTAATTACGACTGTACGCAACATTTTTGTAAAAAATGAACGTGTGACATTTTATTCACTAAATTTAAAAATTTAGCATCTTTTTTGTTTTTGTGTTTGAACTAGTTTGCTTTTGAAATTAATTAATTACAGAAAAACAACATTATGCTAGCTATATCATTTTCTCACCTGATGACATCATTTATCCGTATTTTTGAACTGTTTTCGTTAAAGTAGTTTCGGAAATAGAGATGGGACACAATGAAACTTTGCCGATTTGCCTGGCGAAACAGAATATGACGTCATTAGCCGTCATACAAATACGTCATAATGGGTTGCCATTTAATAGCAATTCGCGGCAAAAAAAATTAATGAAAATCGGCAAAAAAAGAAGGCGAAAAGAAGGTTTATACTTCAGTTTTCATCGTCAAATGTTACCCGGGACAACCCATTATTTCCCCAAAATCCAGAATCAGATGCTTATCAACTCGAACAAATGCGTTCTATATTGTTTTAATGGAGATAAATGAACAAGGACATTTATATCCAGCACATTGATATCTTTGTTTTAATTAAAATACGTTTTTTTCTGCACCTGCAGTGCAGTTTTACTCACGAAACATGCAAAAAACGTAAACGGTACGAACATCGCGCGTAACGTCTTTGACTCATCAGATCCGTTTTAAGCACAAAACAAATAACAAAAAGTCACAAAAATTGATGAGAGAGTATTCGTAGTAACTCAAAGCAAGTTCAAAGGATAATTTTAACTAATAGTAATACATCATAGACCATGTTCTGCAAGATGTGAGTGTCAATCAGCACACCTCAAACATATTTAGTTATATAGACAAGCGTATATATTGATTATATATATCAAGACTTATGAGAAAAGTATGACCTTGTGCAATACCAACATATTATTAGCGACATGATGTGGGACCATAACATAAGACACCGACAGTACATCTTTGGGGGACATGTTTTTTAATGTGTTAAGCATTGCGTTATATAAAATTCTTTGTTTCTGTATGTTATTGAAATAAATAGTTTGTCTTTTATTTAGGTAGAAAAAAATGCTTGTCCCGAGAAAAAAACACATGCCCCTCCCCTCCCGAAAGCAATGACTGCTGGTTAACTTTTAGGTTTTGAAGCCGAAATATTTCTATAAAAGTCGTGACCCTGATAAAAAATAAATGGAGAATGTATCCATGGGACACAGATATTGCCCCCGCTTGCACTTTACGTTATAAAGGAACATAACTATAGAGAACTGTAAAAGTGACGCCAACCAGATTCGAAAAGAGGGACGAAAGATATCAGAGGGACAGTCAAACTCATAGATCGAAAACAAACTGACAACGCCATGGCCAAAAATAAAAAGACAAACAGACAAATAAAAGTACAGATGACACAACATAGAAAACCAAAGACTAAGCAACACGAACCCCACCAAAAACTGGGGGTGATCTCAGGTGCTCCGGAAGGGTAAGCAGATCCTGCTCCATATGTGGCACCCGTCGTGTTACTTATGTTATTACAAATCCGGTAAATAGTCTAATTCGGTAAGTCACATTCGTGAAAAGGGAGGGTATTGTAGTTACGACATAAGGAACATATCCGATATCATCTGTGAAACGGTTATTCCATAACGGTCAACCAACTCGTGATGGCGTCCGTAAAATTTACGAAGGGATGACTTCAACTTCACCATTTGGATCTCTTGGTTTAAAAGCTTCCTTGTGAGAAGCAATCCTCTATCAAGGAAATCATGATAGGAAACACAAGCCCGGGAATATCGTATCAATTGGGAGATATATACTCCGTATGCAGGCGCTGCTGGAATGTTGCTACAGAGAAATGGAAAGTTCACAATTGGGAAGCTGAAATCATCTCTTTTGTCGTAAAGTTTTGTTTTCAACAGACCTTATCAAACTTATCTTTGTTTTATAATAACAAGAATTGTGTATAAATTTCATAACATTTGTTTGAGGCAAACTAAAGTTAAAAAACGGAAACCAATTTTTGAATGTACGGACGGACGTACAGACGGTACGGACGAACAAGAGTAACAATTAATGGGCATAATTAACACAGAAAGGTAAGCACGTGAACAATGAGTCAGATCTAGTTCGATGATGGAGCGGAATTTAGTTGTTTTTTTATATTTTCAACGTGTTCCAGTTTATTGGTTAAACTTTGTTAAAACAGTTGTTAAATGCTTTGGTTTTTTCAGAATCGGTTTAATTCTGCCTTCCGTCGACGTTCGGTTACTTCTTCTCCAATCACGGTTTTTTTTAATTCACAGTTTCGTAGGCCAATTACAGAATTTCAACGAGAGGGGTCGTGTTAAGGTAACTGTATACGTAAAGCTTTTGGGTGACTTTGAGAACAACGATTCAATAGCAGGAAATTCCGGTAGATTTGGATAACATAACGGATTTTTTAAAAAAGAATATGCTTACGTGTTGTAATGAAAAGAGTAGCTTTTCAGTAATATAAAACATGATCATCTTTTTTGTCAAATTTGAAGGATCATTTCACCTTAACATACTAAAATTTAGAGGAGAATAAAAACTGATATGTGAAATAGTATGAAGATTGTCTACTATTTCATTTTGACTCGATGGAGCGTCCAATTCTATACATTCGAACAATTCTATACATTTGTACAATTCTATACATTCGTAAGTACCGATATTTTTGGAATAAAAAATCAAAGAATACATAAATGAGTACCTTCCATCTAGACCATTCACTACCGATATAATATTTTGAAGTAATATACCGCAGAATGGTCAGTCATGCCGACCTGCAATATGAATAGGGTCATGATTCAGTGGAATAGAATATACTATAGGTTCTCAAATCGAATAAAATCATCAGTGCCAGTGAAACATGTTAATTCAGTGTTGTTTGATGTAGAACTGTCTTTGGTTTTTCCCTTTGCGTAAAGAAATCGGTTATTTTTAAAACATCGTAAACCAGCAAAATGTGTTCTTTATATTCTTTTTCGAATTCCGCCAAGTTGCAACATCAAACAGAACATTTATGAATAAAAAGAGAGGTAGGTAAGCATAAATGTTACGACCCAATGACACAAATAAATATAAAACTCCGGATTTTTGCAAGTTGTTGTAATCTGGTACTATTACACAACTGTTCTATGTTAGTTATCATTTTATTTTTCATTTCCGTAATGAAACTCATTATACCTGCAAACAAATCAACTTCCATACCAGTGAAAAAAAAAGACTTATTTTGAGGGATTCATTTATTATTTGGTAACGATTTAAGCAGTGAGGATGGATGAACAGGACATCAAAGTGTTACCGATCTGCAAATTTAAAGGATTAAATAAACAAAATATGCGTTCTAAAGAAATGCCTCATGTAATTTAATATAAAAATAAGAAATAAGAATATACGTTATGTTTGCCAATGAGACAACTATCCACCAGAGGCCAAACGAGAAAAGATGTAAGTAAATTTATGTCACCGTACGGCTTTCATAGATGAGCTAAATCCATTGCGCATATAGTCAGCTGTAAAAAGCCTCAACATGACAAAATGTAAAACAATAGATTATATGTGCTTAAAATTAGATGATGTGTTTAACATTAGATTAGAGGTGTTTAACATTAGATAAGATGTGTTTAACCTAGAAAAAAGAAACTGGAAATATGAACTTAAAAACATGATGAAGATTACTTTTTGTAGTTCGATCTGATGGCCTCATTAAATATATATTAATCATATAAGCAACGTTGTGCATGCAGCTAAACAACCGCCGCAATAAAACAGTTACAACCGAAGTTTAAAACTAATATTATAGAGAAGTTTTCATTAAATATTCTTCAAAGTTTGAAGTATAATGTATACATAGTTTAGTTGCACTTGTCCAGAGATAAATGACCATGTATAAAATTTTATAGACCATGTACAAATTTAGCCAGTGGGGTTTATGATGTAAGTAAACACTCGATTCAGATTACTGAATGACCATGTTGCGTAAATCCCATTACACATATTACTTTTAAGTGTATTGGGGAGGTTAAGAGTTTAAATAAGGGTAATTCAACAGTCACTTCAAAGATGCAAAAGTTTAGTACCGACATTTATTACTTTATTTGATTAATGGGATAATTTCTCCGGGTACTATATACACAAGTGTGCATGTTCAGTTAGTGTACTATCTGTGTATTCCAACTGAACAGAACTTTGTGTTTTTATTTAAAGGTAACATAATAACCGGACAATTTCAGAAAACCTAGCGGTAGGATAAAAGTCCTAAAAACACGAATAGAACAGTTACTTGTCATCTACATACACCTACAAGTTTCATCCATCCACTCACTACACCAAGTCGAGTATAGTCTCACCCCAACCAACACACCAAACCAAGTATAAAACTAATAAGGATAGATAATGTAATGTATCAAAGCATAACTAGTAAAGTACAAACACAAAGTGTTGTTTTACAAACATTCTCCATAGATGTAGGAAGGTTCGCTGTAGAATGGTTCATTGCAAATCTGAATCTTCTATGTCCAACTAAGTACAAGTACTGTCGAATTAATATTTTCTGATTTCTTGTAAACCAAAGACGTTGCTTATTCTCGTCTCGTAAAAACTTTGTATATTTGTGACGTGCAAGGATAGTCTGTCGCCCTTTGTCAAATTCACGGGAAGTAAGCAATTTTCCGGAATAAAAGAAAGAGGTCCACTGCCATAATGTACATTATTGTGAAATAATATATCGTCACGTTGTTTGTTTTCTACATGTCGAACAATCTGCATGGACACTGTACCATAATCAGATGTTTGGTTCCGTATTCTGAAACAATACTGCAATGATACATATATAATATATATTCCGTCTGACTGAACTGTCAGCGATGTTTTGTTGTAGAGGCTATCTTCTCCTGTGTGTTTTGGCATCATCAGTGTTACTTCTGAAATAAAATTATATTCAAATCATAATTTGAACAACTTTATTTATTACACATGATGTTTTGAAAGACGTTTGTTTAATGTTTGGATTGGTGTGTGTGTGTGTGTGTGATGATGTTCAGTTTAAAAGGTGTGTAGGGTAGCATAAATATTGAGACAATAATTCAAATTGACAATAGTATAAGGTCTTTCTTGTTGCCACTACTTTTCTCTTTATCGAATATGACTTTTGTTACGGCTTTGGTCGGCATAAACCATGTGGCAGTATCTTTCAGGAAGCATTGAAGTTACCGTGGTAAAACCTGATCATCTATATGTTGAGATGAAGGACAAATATCAGGCGAAAGACCTTACAAAAGGTCAAGAGTAATTATCGTCCAGATGAGATCCAGGATTTTGAAAAGGAGGGGCCACCACCGTTTGTCGTGATATTTTTAAAAATACTATTCATTTATCCACATATATGTAGCTCCATAACGGTAGGAGAAAGATGGGGGGGGGGGGAATTTCCGCCTCTGTCATCCGCTAGTAGCTATTGTAAAACAACATCAAAATAATTGTGAACTAAAATGAAAATAAATTTTCGAAATAAATAAGCAAGCCTAGCGACAGGTGAAAATGAAATTTCAGTCTGAAAAAAAATCCTCCAGATCCCTAAAAAATCTAATGGTCGTCTCTTTATCTGATAATAAACATCGATGTTTATATTTACCAATTTACCTGATGCTTTTTTCTTCGACAAATAATACATTTTACCAAGTCTTTGTCGAAGAACAGGGCGGTTACCATCTTTATAAAGTTGCTCTTCGCTTAAATTTCTTCTTCCAATGTATTCAGTTGTCAACTGAAAACAAAGAAAACTTCGTAATGATAGTTGCGTTGCTTATATTGTCTCTTACCCCGAAGGTGACTTGCGTATAGAAGTCATTTGACTTTTCTACACTTTACACAAGTATTCCCCATTCCAAACTAAAAGACAAATTGAAAGAGTTGGTATTACTTTGTTTCATTAAAAAGAATGGCGAACGTAGATACAAGTATCTTGTCTTGGGGAGGGATAAATCCTACTTTGTAAAGAATCACTCTGATTCAAACAAAAAATTCTCTGAAACTGACATTATCAAGATGCTTGATTTTTTGATTGACAACATATTTGTTACGTTTGGAGGACGTGTTTTTCAACAGACTGTCGGAATTCCAATGGGAACCAATTGTGCCCCTCTTCTTGCCGACTTGTTTCTTTATTATTATGAGGCTGACTTCATACAGGAGCTTCTTAGGAAGAGAGATAAGAAGTTAGCAATATCCTTTAACTCTACGTTCCGCTATATAGATGATGTTCTCTCACTAAATAATACAAAATTTGGTGACTATGTTGAACGAATCTATCCCATCGAATTAGAGATAAAGGATACTACAGATACAGTTAAGTCTGCCTCATATCTTGACTTACATCTAGAAATTGACAATGAGGGTCGGTTGAAAACAAAACTTTACGACAAAAGAGATGATTTCAGCTTCCCAATTGTGAACTTTCCATTTCTATGTAGCAACATTCCAGCAGCGCCTGCATACGGAGTATATATCTCCCAATTGATACGATATTCCCGGGCTTGTGTTTCCTATCATGATTTTCTTGATAGAGGATTGCTGCTCACAAGGAAGCTATTAAACCAAGAGATCCAAATGGTGAAGTTGAAGTCATCCCTTCGTAAATTTTACGGACGCCATCACGAGTTGGTTGACCGTTATGGAATAACCGTTTCACAGATGATATCGGATATGTTCCTTATGTCGTAACTACAATACCCTTCCCTTTTCACGAATGTGACTTACCGAATTAGACTATTTACCGGATTTGTAATAACATAAGCAACTCGACGGGTGCCACATGTGGAGCAGGATCTGCTTACCCTTCCGGAGCACCTGAGATCACCCCCAGTTTTTGGTGGGGTTCGTGTTGCTTAGTCTTTAGTTTTCTATGTTGTGTCATCTGTACTATTATTTGTCTGATTGTCTTTTTATTTTTGGCCATGACGTTGTCAGTTTGTTTTCGATCTATGAGTTTGACTGTCCCTCTGGTATCTTTCGTCCCTCTTTCATAGAATCGCAGTCAAATTATTTAATCCCCCTTCCCGTTAAAGAGACAATAGCTGCAGAACGAATTTATTGAAACTATAAAATCTGATTTAATATATAATACTTTAAACGTAACTCAGAACGACAAAGGTTCCGTTGTCTGAAATCGTTTTAAAGTATCATCATTTTGTGTGTATTCCTGACTGGAATCGTTTTAAAGTATCATCAATTCGTGTGTATTTCTGACTGGAATCGCTTTAATGTATCATCATTTCGTGTGTGTATTTCTGACTGGAATCGTTATAAAGTATCATCATTCGGTGTGTATTCCTGATTGGAATCGTTATAAAGTATCATCATTTCGTGTGTATTCCTGACTGGAATTGTTTTAAAGAATCATCATTTCGTGTGTATTCCTGACTGGAATTGTTTTAAAGTATCATCATTTCGTGTGTATTCCGGACTGGAATCGTTATGAAGTATCATCATTTCGGGTGTATTCCTGACTGGAATCGTTATAAAGTATCAACATTTCGTGTGTATTCCTGACTGGAATCGTTATAAAGTATCAACATTTCGTGTGTATTCCTGACTGGAATCGTTATAAATATCATCATTTCATGTGTATTCCTGACTGGAATCGTTATAAAGTATCATCATTTCGTTTGTATTTCTGACTGGAATCGTTTTAAAGTATCATCATTGCGTGTGTATTTCTGACTGGAATCGTTATAAAGTATCATCATTTCGTGTGTATTCCTGACGCCATCTAATTAACTATCGTAATGGCCCACGAAAATATAAAACAGACCTAGGTAAACATAAAACAGAAGTCCAAAGGTAAACATGGGCAACACTATGCGGTCTATTTTCTTAATTATGTTGGATCTCATATTGAAAATATTTCAACAATTTTAATTATGAAGGATTCGCTAAACTCAATACAAAAATACAAAACTTTTGAATAGTTTGACAGAGTAAAGTCCTAAGTCAAAATATCACAAACATTTGCATGTGAAGATTCCTAAACTTATCCACGTTAATTAAATGGCTTGATTTGGCTTAGTAAAAACTGAAGTTAAGACTGCATATAAAGTTATACGTACCAGTGTTAGTAAGTTAAATACTGCTTGATCCGACGTCTTTTGACAGTATTGAATATCCTTAGAGCTTGGTCGATTTCTATGATTTCGTTCACATGGAAGAAGTATAAAATCTCTCGATGGCTTTTTTATATTCTGACGATCAACGCCTGATTTGAAATGAAACAAAACTACCACGATTGCAGAAACGATTATCAATAATACTATGTTCGAAAGAAACGAAAGTGTAACATATAAACAATATTTTGAGATTTTCCTTTTAGGCTCGATGTTTTCACATTGAACACTATTAAACAACACGCTGTTGTTTTCACTGTTTTCCTCTGTAGTTTTTGTATATGACGGATTCACATTGAAACAATTTTTTGATTTACTTGCCGACATGGAAAGCGGTATGTAAGGCATCTTGCCTTATCTTTACTTTGATTTGAAACTGAAACCGAAAGTACATTTCAAACTATGGTGAATCCATTTATGTCATTTATAAATAACTATATTCATCGATTTTCCGAAAATCAATGTATACAAAATTTGATTGCGCTGTATTTTTTTTAGCAACAATTTTTTTCTTTGAAAGAAATGAGAACAATAAATGAATCATTAATTTCCTGTATTAGACATGATCGACCAGATCGCCCTTGATTTTATTTAAAAAAAAGATGTGTGTGTTTAAATGTTTTCACGTTTATAGCGTAAAATTAATATTTGTTAAAAAAGACATAATTAATTCATGGTTTTCTTACAACCAGTTAAAGCGCCAAGGTGTTCAGTGATGTGCAACAATTGCTAGCCAAGGCTTGGTTTGATGCATACAACTTATCTTAATTAATTGTATTATTGTTATGTTTGTGCAAGTCAGTGATTTCTGCACCATGTGCAACTGTTTTCTATAAATAATGTAAACCCGGGACGAACATAGGGTGGGGTAATACAAATACAAATGCAAATACAAAAATATTTTATTGACACAAACACAATAATTACAATAATTGGCAAAGGCCCATAGTTCATTACATTATTAGAATGAATACAGCATAATGAAATATATATATAATGTTAAAATTAAGAAGATAAAATCTCATTTCTATAATCTGGACATTTATGTATATATAACTAGTCACTTTCAGGACTTTTAAGAATTGCTAGTAATGCAACACCTCATATTTACCTGATTCTCACTATGACTTGCAGGAAGTATATTTAATATAATACTTTTAAAACTTATTCCTAAGAATATTTTTCACACTTAAAAAAAAAACGTGATTTTTATCTTCTACCTCACCCGATTTAAATACATTGCAAACTCGTTCATTGGTGGATAAACCTAAATGTCGCCCTTTTTCTATGGCAAGATTGTGTGCACTCAATCTTATTTTACACAGAGATGACCTTTTTAATATGTTCATTAGAACATAAACGTAAGAACTACGCTGATTTGCATTATAAAATTTTTGACAAAATTTTAGTTTGGATGAACTGTAAATTTTTGATGATTGATCCTGCGTGCACTGACCATCACTCGTTGTTAATACTGGGTAGATATTGTTTAATAGAATATTTATCCCAACTACCCAGCTCACAAAAAATATTTTCATGATATTATTGCTGACTGGTCATATTTATGTTTCCTAAAATATTGCCAAAACATACCTTATAGATATTTCTGAACATCAAAAGATACATATGAATGATATTTTTGTAAAATTATTTCTTCTAAATGTAAAATTGATATAACAACTATGTTTTTTTAAACAACTTTCCTAAATATTTTATTGTATTTGCTCTGATGATTATAAAATGTTCTTTTGTCATAATATTAA